GATTATCCTGCTCCGGCACTAACTATATCAATATTTCGGTATGGATGTTCTCACTGACGGAGTTCAGTTAATCATACTTGGGAAACATTTCTTTAGAAACAATGGATCTTACCACATATCTGGTTTGGATCCTACTCCTTATACTGACCTTTTATTAAATAAAATGCAATTTGAAGATCTGGCTTCTCAAGGATTTGAGTTATATTTAGATATAAATCATATAATCAGCTAAATTGTACATCTGCCCATGCCCTGTTCAAGGGTTTATATTCTATGCAAGTTTGACATAACTTATACTTTGCATCAGTCATATTAAATGTATGGTCCCAAATGATACGACTCATATGAGGTTTACTATATAGCATAGATTTAATAGGATATTACCAGGGATGAGTGTCTATAGAAAGATTAGGACAGGTTAGAGCTTTTCTCTCTGGAGATTGAGATGATTGAGAGGAAACCTGAAAAAGGTGCTTCTAATTCTGGAAGGTGGGTGTCAACAGGCTATTTCCGTTCGTTAGTTGAATCCCAAACCAGGGAGTAAGTATTGGACAGCCAATAGCAGATATAAAATGGAGTTTTGGAGGAACATCTGTATGCAGAAGATGGTGGGAATGTGAAACTCACTGTTAGAAGCTGTGGTTGAAGTAGTAACATTCTATGTAATTTTCTATACAATTACTGCATAGATTGCACCTCTGGCAATGCAGTGATTCCCCTGCACTGGAATGTCAGCCTAGATTGTGAGTTCAAAGTAACAACGTGAGGCTTGAACCCATGACCTTCTGACTCTGAGGCAAAAGTGCTACCAAATGCACCAGATAGACACCTAATCCCACAAGGACAAGGGAAGTCTAAAATGAATGGAAATTATCTGAAACTTGGAAGACGTGTGTTTTGGTGTGGTGCATTTTAACAACTTAAATATTAGCCTTTAAATATCACTCTCCTTGATGTGTCTTGTTTTATTATGTTATGTAACAGCTGTAGAGCAATGTGTCAGCCTGATTCGCTGTATCAGCCTGGCTCAGTGTTAAAACTCTCACCTCTGAGTCGAAAGGTTGTGGGTTCAAGTCCCATGTCCCACTTAAAATTACATAGTTTAAGCTGACACTCCAATGCACCACTGAGGGGGTGTTGCATTTTGGACGTGCCGTCCTTCGAATTAGATGTTAAATGGAGGTCCTGACTACTTTTTCAGGTGAACGATAAAGATCCCATGACACTGTACAAAAAGAGAAGGGACTTTCTCCCGGTGTCCTGGCCAACAATCCCCCGAAGTAAAATTGGTTATGGACTGTTTGTGAGACACATATGAGAAGTGATACATTTTCATTTGCATTTTAGTTGATAGCTGTGAATGCTTGGGTTGATTATAGATGTGGGGGGCTCAAACTGAGGAAGAAACCGGTACCCTGGACTGGGTTACTGCACTCCTTCTGCTGAGAATTTTTTTCTAAAATTTACTGAGAATTCTATTAAAATGCCCTCTAAACCTGTCTGTCCTCAAACCTTGAGCATTCATTTGGATCCCATGAGACATTAAATGCAATATTTTGCAGGAATTCTGTTCTGTCACAGACCTGTGTCCCTTTCTGACCTGTAGTTAGTAATATTGTTCAGATGTGTCAGGAATGATTACTGTAGTGTTTGGTATGATAGTTAGGGGCAGAATTTAAGCTTCAGTCTTGCAATTCCTCTTTTATTCCAACTGTCACTATGAAAAGAATAAATATAGTCTCATTCCTCAAATGATTTGTTAAAATATATTGTGGTTTCAAACCCATTTGAGAGTCCATTCGTAGAATGAAAGTAAGTCTGCTTTCTATAGCTTTTAGCTGATTTGCACCTTTCACTAGTGAGATGTGGATGCCTGGAATATATTTTCTGATAACAACTGCTTGCATTTATAGAGCACCTTCACATTAGGATAGCAACACAGAAACATAAAAACCTACAGCACAAAAGGTGGCCCATCAAGGCTGCATCAGCTCACAAAGCAAAGAGACAATTCAATCCCACCGCCCTACCGTAGCCCTATACCCATGTCAACTGTTCTCTTTTGTTTGCCCATCTACTTCCGTCTTGAAATCTATAATGGACTCTATCTCCACCACCCTACTTGGGAGGACATTCACATCTCAACAATTCAACTCTCTAGATGAAAAAAATCTTAACTGGTCCTTTCGCTGTTCTTGTGGCTATGTTCTGATTATGTTTCCCAGTCACTGACTCCCCTATTTGAGGAAATAATTTCTCCCAATTTACCTTGTCAAAAACCCTCATAATTTTGGATTGTTTTTCCGGGGGTAATAATCCCTTAAAAAATAATAATAATTTGGTCACTCAATCCATGACTGTTTGTGAGAGATTGCTGTGTGCAATTACCTGCCATGTTTTGGCCACAAAATATACAGTCAATTCACTTTACAGTATATTCTGTGAAGCTCTTTGATATCTTGAAGATGTGATAAGGCGCTATATCAAATGCAAGGATTATTGTTATCTCTGTCAGCTCCCTCTAAGTAGCAAAATGGAAAATTTTGGCAGGCAGGTTTTTCATGCAGCAGAATTTTAATGTTGGGTCCTTGGAGGATGGCGAATTAATATTAAATGAGGATCCAAAAGAGAACTGCCAAATTGATCAACTCATTAATGCATCAGTGAACTATGAACTGTGTCAGAGAATGGTAGATGTGAGTTCTTATCCATGAATCCCTACAGGACAAGTTCCTAATTTGTTAGGAAGTGGGAAAATCTGGATGCCGTGTTAAATCAGATCAATATTCTGCACCCGCAGGTTACAGAGTAACTTGTGCAGAGATGTGAGAGTTGACATCTACCTCAGGCTCTTGCTGAGAAATGGTGTGTAAAGAATTCATGTAGTGGAGGAAATTGCTGTCGTGAACATTGAGGGATTCTTTACGGATAGGTTCCTTTTGGGAACGTGCCATTTCTCCCAGCCAAGAACCGAAATATACCTGTGTTTATATGAGTAGCCATCACAACTATTGTTACGTACAATGAAGCATTCTTAAAAAATTTCAATACTGGAAGTACAGCCTCTATAAGCATCTGATTTGGATTAAGTAATGGGTCTGTGGGAGGGAGGCTTTTGCATTTGTATTTGTGCTGTTTTCCAGCAGCTGGCAGGCTGATCCTTTGTCCTTTAGTCATAGTGTTTTTGTTTGGGTCCAGATCAATTTATCACTTGTTTTGTCATACAACTAGACATGGTTTGATTGTTCAAAAGAAGTTTACTATTTAAAAATGTGTGCAAAAGCAAAGGGAATTAGATGTTTCTGGATAACAAAGAGGCTAAGAGGGAGTCAATTAAGACACTGACCTAAATCTGCATGCTTTCCATCTGGAGACAATTGCGATCTATCCGATCTATGAAATTAATAATATAATTTTTTATATATAGGTGAAACCTGGTTATAATGTATGTCCTGGTATACCACTGCCTTTCTTGGAGCACAAGTTTAGACCTATGCTAACTAGAAGTATGGTACTCTCAACTTCTGGTATTGACTAGCCAGCTTCCCGTGCAAAATATTGGCTGTCTTTAGCATCAGCGTAGGTAATTTTGTGAAGAAAGTGACAAAAGTAATACTCTTTTTACTGCGTATACACACAGTACAGAGGAAGTGATGTGAGCAGTGACAACTTGAAAGTATATTATTATTTGCATTTTGTTATAAACACACTGAAACTTTGGACCCAGAAAACCACCTTATAATAATAATCTTTGCATTTGATATAGTGCCTTATCACATTTTCATGACGTCTCAAAGCGCTTTACAGAATATACTGTAAAGTGAGTTGTCTATATTTTATGGGTGAAACACGGCAGCAAATTGTGGTTATCCTATACTCCACTGTTTTAATTGTAATGGTATTATATAAACTTTGTATGTTATACATATCTAAAGCTGTATATTAGATCTCAAATCCTTTAACCTGTATTATAGAACTAAAACCTTTTGAGGAGTATTGTTGAAAGATGTATACTGTATTATTTTGTCACCCCGGCTCAGTTGGTGGCATTCTCAATCTGAGACAGAGAGTTATGGGTTCAAACCCACGTCAGGCCTTGATCTCACAGGTCTATGCTGACCCTCCTTTGACCCTCCACTACAGAAACTCCCTCCTTGTCGGCTTCCCCAACTCTTCCCTCCACAAACTGCAGATTATCCAGACCTCTGCAGCTCATTTCCTCTCACGCACCAGGCTCCGTGACCCCATCAACCCCACCTTCGCCTGGCTCCGTTGAGTCCCCATCCCTCAGAGGATAGAATTCAAAACCCTTTCCTCACTTTTAAGGCCCTCCACAGCCTTGCCCCCTCCTACATCTCTGACCTGTTGACCCCCTCTCAACCTGTGTGCTCACTCCACTCAGCGGGCTCTGGCGGGAGGACATCCCAAGATGCTGAACAGTCAGGCCCTGGCCTGTTCCACCCTACCATCGTGGCTGGGCTTTTAGCCTCTCTGCCCCCACTCTTTGGAACTCCATCCCACAATCCCTTTGCCTTGCTCCATCTCTTGCCTCCTTCAAGGCATGACTCAAGACCATCTTTTTTGGCCATATCTTCAGCTGCCCTCCTACCCCTCTGCCCTCCCTTACCCAAAACCTGCCCCCCATGCTCGTGACCTAATCTCTGCCTGTTCAGCACCTTGGGATGTCCTTCCGACGTGAAAGGTGCTTTACAAATGTAAATTTTGCTGTTGTTGAATCGTTGGGGGTGTGCTGCCCTTCGACTGAGATATGAAACCGAGGTCTTGTCTGTATGTTCAGGTAGAAATTGAAGATCCAATGGCACGACTCAAAGGGAAGGGAGTTTCTCCTGGTGCCGTGGGCCAGCAATTTGTCAGATAGCATTGATCATGGATTTGGTTCATGGGCATTTGTCGTACATTGTTGTGTGTTGTTATTATATAGTGAATATGTTAATTTCTCCCTAAGATGATATTTGTATCTGTTTTTATTTCTGCTCCAGGTGTTATTAATACAGCTGATGTACTTGACCGTGAAACAACTGCATCTTATTGGCTGACTGTGTATGCTACTGACCGTGGAGTGGTTCCATTGTTTTCATCCATCGAGATCTACATAGAGGTTGAAGATGAGAATGATAATGCACCAATGTCCTATGAGCCTATTTATCATCCGTCAGTTCTGGAGAACTCCCCCAAGGACGTCCCAGTTATGCAGGTTCAAGCTTACGATCCAGATTCCAGTTCCAGGGATAAAATGACTTTCAGGATTACAAGTGGGAATCCTCAGAATTTCTTTGTAATTAACTCCAAGACGGGTAAGTCTCACCTGAATGTTTAGACAATTCTTTACTGAAATCAAGCAATTATTTGGTAAACAGTGTTTTCCTTTTGTAGAAAATAATGGATTGAATGTTATGTTGTTTTTGCAAATCTCGTTATGCATTCTTCTGATTTAGTATTATCTTCATTGCTATTCTTTTCTTTTAAGGAAAACATGTGCATAATATATTAGCACACTGTACACTATTATGAAAGGAAGAATTGATGGATCTGTGTATGATTGTCAACATTTGAAGCTTTTATCAAAATCTAGTGATTAAAAGGAGGAAGAGTATGGAGCTTGCAAGTTACCCATACATTGGGAGGCTCCTACATGCACATCTCTTAATGTTGCTTTGAATAGAATTGGCAGAGGATTTGGAACAGGTTTGCCTGCATACTGACTAGACATGGGAATTGTTATTTCCTAAGGAAGAATATAAAATTAGACTTTTAAAGTTTAATGGAGATGTGTGTGAATGCAGATGTGCCCACACATAAGCCAACCTGGATCATCTGTGAGAAAGTGGAGGTTGTATCTTATCTTAAATAAAAATGTCAGGGTTAGGATTGAAAGTGTAACATCTTAAATCATTAGAAGGTTATGCTTGAAGGCTCAGTTGAGGAAGGGCAGGAGGAGGCTCATGTGGAGCATAAACACCGGCTTAGACCAGTTGAGCCGAATGGCCTGTTTCTGTGCTGGATATTCTAATTTATTCTAATACATTAGAGTCCTGTAGCTCAGTGGTTAGAGCACTCGCTTTGCAAGCGAGAGACCTGAGTTTAATTCCAGGCAGGGCAAAACCTTGGGCAAGTTTCCTTACTCCACACGCCTAATAATAATCCCTCCAAAAAAAAACAATAAATTGGTCATTTTCAATCTACGACTGTTTGTGGGACATTGCTGTGCGCAATTGGCTGCCGTGTTCGCCCACAAATATACAGTCAATTCACTTTACAGTATATTCTGTGAAGCGCTTTGAGACGTCTAGAAGACGTGAAAAGCGCTATATCAAATGCAAGGATTATTATTATTATAATGTATCACACCATCTGGTCGGTTGCCAGAATTTCTATGAAAGTCAATCTGCCAACAAACCCTTACTCAAAGGCCACCCTTATATAAAGGCCACTTTGGTCCAGTTCCTTGAGTGATTGTTGAAGACAGCTTTGACTTGGCACTCCAAAGACTGAAAGAACTCTGATTTGTGAGGGAGGTGACTGAAGGCTAAGTCCAAGAGGTAGTCATTGGATGGGTTTTGAAAGCAAAGAAAGAGGTGGAGGGATTTGAAAATAGAATTCCAGATGACAGGGGGCAAGTGGCAGGAAGCTCACTTGCTTATGACAGACCAGTCAGGGGGAATGCAGCAGGCCAGAGTTGGCAGAGCAACAATAACAGCTAATTGTATTTATGTAGCCCCTTTCATGTTGAAGAAAATGTCCTGAGGCATGACTGTCCCAAGGCATCCAGTGAATGGTTGGAGGAGGAGTATTGTGAGAGATCACAGAGGTAGTATAGGGCAAGACAATGGAAGCATTTGAAGATAAGAATGTTAGTTTGTCTGTTGGGTGATAGGGAGCGAATGAAGATGGCTGTGGACAGCGAAGATTGGTTCACTAAGCCGAGTCCAGGGAGGAATGAGAGCTGCAGAGTTCTTAATGATCTGGAGTTTGTGGAAGATAGAACCGGCGAGGCTGGGGAGTTGCAAAAAGTCAAACCTGGAGGTGACAAAGGTGTGAATGAGGATTTTAGTTATTTTGGGAGTTAAATACTGGTAGAGGTGGGTGCTGTTGCAGAAATAGTGTAAATCAAATAAGGCAGAACCCAAATTAAGGTTTCAGGAAAAATTAAGGTGAGAACAAAATGCTAAGGTTCTGCAAAGACTCCATAAGTTGGAGAGGCCAACTATAAGGAGCTTATACAAGCTGAGATTTCCATGCATCCTAACTGCACATGGAAATCCCAGAGATAGATGGTTGGAATGGTGCGCACAGTTTAAGCTGCAGCAACTTGCCTCTGGCGGCCAGTCGAGGTCGATTCCAGGCACTGGACGTACGAACGGGTGTTCACAAACTCGGACTCCAGGTAACTTGCCAGCAGCTGTCGCCCCAAACTCAGAGTTTCCTCATCAGCTATCTGGCAGGCATCTGCCTTCAGCATGGTGGGAGGACCTTTATAGGACAGTTTGTGAGATACCAGCCACCTTGATATTCTTGAGGTGTTTGACGATTCTCACTCCTTTTTGTACTTGCGAATTTTAGTAACGTTTTCGTACTAAGTAACCTCGGTTACTAACCCTGTCAGTGTGAGTCCCTGCTCAAAGATGTTTCAACCGAGTCAGAAGTAGTTCTGACGAAGTGTCGTGGATTCTAAACTTTGACTCACTTTCCTTTCTCCATAAACGGGTCCTTTTCAGATTGGCGGGATGTGACTAGTGGAGTGCCACCAGGATCAGTCCTTGGGCTTCAGCTATTTACCATCTACATCAACGATCTAGATGAGGACATCAAAGTTAATATATCTAAATTCGCGGATGACACAAAACTAGGAGGAAGTGTCAGCACAGAGGACGACATTAAAAAAATGCAGCGAAACATAGATAGGTTAGGTGATTGGGCAGGTAGGTGGCAGATGAAGTATAATGTAGGGAAGTGCGAAGTCATCCACCTAGGTAGCAAAAACAGTAGAGCGGGTTATTTTTTAGAAGGGGAGAGATTGGAATGTGTTAGCGTCCAGAGGGACTTGGGTGTCCTTGTACACCAATGACAGAAAGTTAGTCTGCAGGTGCAGCAGCAATTAGGAAGGCAAACGGTGTGTCAGCATTCATTATGAAACGATTAGAGTATAAGAGTAGGGAAGTCTTGCTGCAACTGTATAGGGCCCTGGTGAGACCACACCTGGAATACTGTGTGCAGTTTTGGTCTCCTTATTTAAGGAAGGATGTACTTGCCTTGGAGGGGGTGCAGCATAGATTTACTAGGTTAGGACCAGGGGATGAAGGGGATGAGTTACGAGGATAGGCTGACCAATTTGGACCCATATTCTCTAGAATATAGAAGAATTAGAGGGGATCTTATAGAAACCTATAAGATCATCAAAGGGCATGATAGAGTAGATAGTGGGAGATTGTTTCCCCTGGTTGGAGAAACTAAAACCAGGGGTCACAACCTTAAAATCAGAGGCCAGCCCTTTCGCGCTGAGTTGAGGAAGAACTTCTTCACTCAAAGGGTGGTGAATGTATGGAACTCACTACCCCAAAGGGCTGTTGACGCTCAGTCCTTGAACATATTCAAGACTGAGATAGATAGATTGCAAAAGGGATTAAGGGATATGGGGATAAAGCAGGGTAAGGTTATTAGCTGGAGTTAGATTAGAAGATCAGCCATGATTGAATGGCGGGGCAGGCTCGAAGGGCCGAATGGCCTACTCCTGCTCCTACATGTTATGTTATAGATGCTGCCTGACCCACTGAGTTTTCGCAGCTCTCTCTTTTTGTTTCAGATTCCAGCATCTGCAGTATTTCATGTTGTGAGTCAGAAGTAGTCACTGGTTTTACCAGATAACTCCAATGCCCGGTAACTGGGATGTCTAATCGAAGTCTGCTCGCGCTACCAGAACTCCGATGTCGACAGCTACTCTCTAAGTGCTTACTCCTTTTCTTGTTTTGGAATATTACAGAGACTCGAGGATACATGTGGTAGAAAACAATAACTTTATTTAAGACCTAGCAACCCTAGGTTACCTTGCATATAAGGAACACAACAATTTAAAATATACAACAATGAGATCAAATATAACTAACAAACATAACTACAATAACTGGCAGCACAATGCTACTTTTGTCCAGGTTATATAGAGCCTCTTTCCTGTGGATAATGTTGCCAAGGGGAGCATGGAATAATAAAAACAATCCTTCCGTTTGATATATATAATAATAATAATCCTTGCATTTGATGTAGCGCTTTTCACGTCTTCTCGACATCTCAAGCGCTTCACAGAATATGCTGTAAAGTGAATTAACTGTATATTTGTGGGCGAAACGCAGCAGCCAATTGCGCACAGCAGTGTCCCACAAACAGTCGTGGATTGAAAAAGACCAATTTATTATTGTTTTGTTTTGGAGGGATTATTATTAGGCGTGTGGAATAAGGAAACTTGCCCAAGGTTTTGAACTACTGGGAATTGAACCCAGGTGTCTCGCTTGCAAGGCGAGTGCTCTAACTACTGAGCTACAGGACTACAGGACTAATCTTTAATGCTGGGAGGATGAATGTCACGTATGCACACAGCAGTATCCCACAAACAGCCATGAAGTGATCACCAATTTATCTGAGGGATTGTCAGCCAGGGCACCAGAAGAAACTCTTTTTAAGTAGTGCCACGGGATCTTTAACATGCACCTCCATGTTTTCCAATATGAAAGGAGGGTTTGCTCAAAGGTAAATGTGTGTTTGATAAGAGCCCAGTACCCCGAGAGATCTGGACTTGGATAAAAACTATCACAGAATTTCTGTTTATAATAAAAACACATCCATGTAATGTACCAACATTTTCTGATCCATTTCTCCTGAAATTTACATTGAATTTTTTTGCTCCTCAGACAGCAGATAACTGTTACTCACAGTAATGTTCAAATGATTAATGAGTTTATAGTTGGTACCACTGGTAGTGTTAGCTTACCTCCGCATGCTCTCCAGATCAGTTTTCATACAGTAGTCAGCAATTTCCTGATTATTATCTGAGGACTAGTCATTATTCTCTCACATGGCAACCTGTACTATACAGAAGGTAGGTGTGAATTACATTGTGATCTTGTTAAATGTCTTTTGGAAGCGACGCAGTGCAAGCATTTTTCACTTCTTTCAAAAAGCAGGGGTGAAATACCATACTTTCGAGTTTTCCTTGTACGGGCTATAATCATTGTGACTCTTTTGACTGAGTATTTCTACCTGTGCTTCATTTGCTTCAGTCCTCTCCTAAAGTGGATACACAGTG